TGATTGCATAATCTTTTATGAATCAACTTGAACCAGTCTGAGTTCCCTCATTGTGTCACTTCCCTTTGCACAGACAAATATTAGAGTAATGAGGAAAACCTTGGTAAAATTTACTCTCATAACTTGTTATGAGAACATGTAAGGTGAGCTATTTGCATAAGTAACTCATCCCTTACAAAATGTATTTAATGTGTTCTGTGAGCCGATAGGCTGAGACAAGACGAGGCACATGACTTTCAGGCTCAGGGAACAGCAGGGGGCGCTCATGAGCTCAGAGAATGCATGAGCTGCAGCAGAAGAAACAAAAAGTTACAGTTTGTCAAATGCTGTGTTTTTGGAACCCGTTTTGCAAAGTTTCAGTTTATAAAGTAAAAAAAAAAAGTACAGCAGGGATCCATTTGTTTTCTCACTTTTAAACCTGACTTTTAGAATGGAGGATTATATRTTTTAAAGCTTAAACTATGTTCTAAACTGGACTTGGAAGCAGCAGGTAAATCAGAGCCACACCACACCTGAGACTGAAGCTCTTCTGAAACAGCTGGACACTGTGTGGACGTCCTGACAGAAACAGTTTCACCTGACATGTTTCGACTTGTGACAGCTGTGGACTCATGGGATATTTTCAGCGGTGCATGGACTTATGTTATAAGTTAGGATATAATAAATTTGTTTTAATGAAATGTGCATCAAATGAGCTGCAGTTTGTGTAAAAACATTTATATTTGTAAATCTGATTCTGATGAACTGAGTGCTTCACCATCCATGAACCTCACCGCACRTTAGTGCTGGGCGGTACACCGTTTTGTACCGAAAACCGGTTTTTATTTTTGTTATATGACTTTTCTGAATACCGGTTTAAATAGCCTGAACACATGCGGAACGTTTCGTCGCGGCCGCCAGTTTCCCTGGGGACACGTTTCCGTGCAGCACCGCTAATCACATTAGCATGCTAACGTTATTGTTGGAACAACTGGCGGCGGATGGTGTGTTTCAGCCACTTATACGGTCTGACGTAAAAATAAATCCCGTTTTCACCATCGCTGAATAGTAAACAACTCTTCAGTGTCGTGCACGGTTAGATTTAACACTCTACGTTATAATGAAGACGTTACTGCATGGAGACTCTAGCGTGCTTCTGTTGGGAAAAGCCCGGGGAGAAGTAGATTTGTAATGTAGCGAAGTTGTTGGTGTGCAAAGTGAGTCATATTTTAAGTTTTATTAACACAACGATAGACCAGATAATGATTTTTTCTCAACCCTTCATGATCGGACCTAAATGCATGATTACTGTCTACAAACAGGCAGAGAAGAAAAGACGAATAAGAGGAGGGAAACATACAGAGGTACAGTAAAAGAAAAAGTCAATAAGCAAAGTTTGTACAATTTGTTATCAGCTGAGCTGTGAGGGGAAAAAATACCGTCAAATACCGTGAAACTGGTGTGATTGTTGAAAATACCGTGATATAAAATTTGGGTCATACCGCCCAGCTCTACCGCACGTCACTGATAAATAGTATATTATTTTATGAATGACTCGCTGCAAGACAAGCTGAAACTACAGAGGAACTTCTATCTTTGTCATTTTGAACAATTCAAACAAAAACAGGATGGAATGAAGTCGGTTCTGTTTTTCTATTTAAATTTGAAAAAACCTGAAGAGCTGGATCTTCGCTCACATTTCTGCTCATTTCTACACAAAAACATCCCTTCTGCTCAAGTTTTATGGTTTTAAAAGGTGAGGAAAATAAAACGACAGGCTTCTGGAGGATATTTACYGTCTGCTTGGTTTAAACATTAAACAGGTTCTTTTCTTTAGAGTTCACAGAGACAAAAACACAAGTCAAACAAATGTCCATCAGTTGAGACGGCAGCAGAAAGGGACAGAGGAGGGTTAGAGTCGGACACAAACAGACCAAATTAATCAGTGTTTAAAAGCTTTTATAACCTCAAACTTCTTCAGCTCCTCTTTGGCTGTGCTGTAGCTAACGGGGGCGGAGTCCAGAGAAGAGACAGCCTGCTCAGCCAATCGCAGCCAAGCATCCAGGTGGGCGTGTTCCTTCATGAACTCGTGCCAGAGCACCCACCGTCTGTCCAACCTACAGGGAKGGACAGCAGGGACACTGAATGTCTGCATTTGAAACACATCCTGTGGGATATTTAAATATACTCACTGTCCACACGTCCACCTGTCTCCGTCCTCTCCCTGATTTTCGTCCAATCGCTGCCTCTCTTTTCCGTTTCCCTCCAGAGGAGAGGAGTGGGAAAGAAAGGGGTCCTGGACCAGATCCAGAAGGAGCTCCAGGTCCATCGCTTCATCTCCAGCTTCAACATCGCTGCTGTCAGAGCCGAACGCTGCGTCTCCGTGGTGTTCTGAGGGGGGCGGGGTTAGTCCTGCCATCATGACATCATGTTACCTCTACCTGATGGAAAACAAGCCGGAGATGATTATCTGACTGACCGAAACCAAAACAGACTTTATGACGAGCACAGACAATAAAGTCATAAATCTGCTTTTTTTTTCTATTTCATTCCATAGAAAAGGTTCCTGAGGAATTTTTGACCCATTTAGGCTCCTTAGTGGCTCAAACCAGTGTCAGTTTTACAGAGAGGTTCACTAAATTCAATTCAATTCAATTCACTGTCATTTATACTGAAACAGGGCTGTACAGTGCAACGAAATGCTTTTAAGCTAGATCTCCAGTGCAGTAACGAAGTGCAGACAAGACATAACGTGCATAAACATTAGACACAAACATTAAATTCACAATCGTGTGTATGGTGTGGACAATGGACAGTCTATGGTTGTTCAGGTTGTGACTGGAGTGGCTGGGGTCACCAGTTTAACAACACTGGGAAAGAGGCTGTTCTTCAGACTGGTGGTTCTGGCTCTGATGATCCTGTACCTTCTTCCAGATGGCAGGGGTTSAAACAGGAAGTGGCTGGGGTGGGTGGGATCAGAGGAGATGTTAAATGATAAATGTTTATTTAGCCAGCATTAAGCTACTTTTAGTTGCATTTAGCCAGCCTTTGGCTACTTTT